TTAGGTAGCTATCAAGGAATATGCATCACCTAACCAAGTTTGTGATGAGTATCTGTTTCAAGCATCTATTTTATTCTTTTTTTGCAGACATAAGTCCTCCTTCTTGTAATTTTAAGAACTGACTAGTGACACCTAGGTTTGTAGCTGTTTAGAAGAACTTCCATCTTCATTTTCAACATAAATTCTCTCATTCCATTTATCTTGACTTCAGGAGAATAAAACATGCTGTTGCTACTCCAAACTAGATAAAATGTGTTGAGTCCAAAATGTTTAGAAGGGATTATGAAGAGATAATCACACAGTGTGTTTTATGATTTGCTGTAAATTCCGTGGTTACAGCATGTTAGAGCAAGGTACTTACTCAGCATTATTACAAGCTCAATATTGTCACTTTGCCCATTATTATAGAATCTGGTAGATAGAATGGTATTTCCCTAGAGAGCAATTAATACTGAGGACTGCATCATTGCTGGTTTATTTCCATTTACAGTAGTGTTTAGTTGTACCTGAGGCCTGTTTATTTCATCTTAACATAGTCGGTGGCAGAGGGGTGGTGAGGTGTGGGGGGTTGGGGATCCTCTCAGCTCCCTGTAATTGGAAAATATCCTTTCAGTCTGCATTTCCAAACTGTCCCATTCTTAAACACTGAGCTCAGATGTCACATCCTTCATGAAGCTGTCACTTTATCACTTTTCCTTCAGTCTGCCCCTCTTGTGAACGCCAATGTATTTTTTTGGAGATTACTTTTCTTTATAAACTGATTGCAGGCGTCATATGCCAGAAATGTTTTCTAATTTGTATCTTCTATGATGGTTAGCAAAATTCCATATGCTAAGAGAAAGGCATTTAGTGGCTTGATGAATTAATCTTATCCGAGATAGTTAAACAGACAATATATAAGAAGAAAAACAAATATAAATCAGTTTAATAAAGTGCAGTTTTATTTTTCTTTGCAAACAGTATGTCAAAATGTTGTGAATATTTTTAAAGAGTTAATTAAAATATTAAAATTGGCTATAAATATGTAATATAGCTGGCAGAGAATTTTGGTTATTGAAGATTGTAGAAGAAGAAATGAATACTTTATGAAATAGTAAATCCGGGTTGTATTTTAATGCAGAAAATCGCAAATTGAATGCATATTTACCACAATATGTTCAAATGAACTCTAAGCAAATTATATCAACCATTGGGTTGAAATATTTTCAGATATCTAAAAATGCAACATCAGTCCATTTTTTTTGCAGGCAAAGATCTCATTTTTGTTAAATAAGAACTGGTAACTCTTCTCAGATTGTGAAAACTTTTCTAGATGGCTGTATCTTTAGCAGTAACTGTGTCCCTCCATGACTGAAGCTTCCCTGAACTTCCTATATTGACTAAGGTCTCACTGAACTCTGAAAACTCTTTCATCCACTTGCCCCTTCCATCCACAGGATTAGTACCTTCTTGCTTTTGCTAAGCATGCCTTCCCAAACCTTTTGTAATATTCCTTAAATGAATGCCTATCCATTGGGTGCCTTGTTTCTTTCAAGGACCCTATATCAGAAGCAATTTCCCTCCACATTCATCCATTGCATTTCCTGTTGAAGGACTTTCTGCATTCTACAGGAGTTGATTTTCATGTTCCTTTTTTCAATCTTTAACTTCTCTTTACTTGAACATGTCATCCTGGAAGCTACTTTTAACCCAATTGCATCTCTTATATAAAAAAAAAAAAAAGACATAAAGGCCAGAATTTGAATCAGGAAGTCACTTAAAGTCAGAAGGTTGTGGATCCACCACAAACTTAAAATTATATATATGCCACCTGTATTAAAATACACTAAAATAAAAGTTGCAATGTCATGAGATAAAAAAATGAAGATGTGCAAGTTTAAGGAACTTCCCAAATATGACAACCCAACCTTAGCAGTATTTAAATGTTTGTAGAGATTTCAAGTCTGTGTAGAAATTCTATTTTCACTGTTTCAGTTTTTTATTGCTAACAATGCTTTTTTTAATACTATAAAGTTTTCAGTGATGTAAACATTTATTAAGCACAAAATTCTTAGATAACTGAAATGTGGTGTCTATCTTCCAAAAGTTTGCTTGTAATTCTGATTCTGCCTCCTCCTTAAGCACCTGTAAACTGTCTCTAACACTTAACTTTCTACAGTGACTATTCTTTCAAGAGTCATTGATGACTTACTTAGTTGCTAAATTTAGCCATGGAGTTTTTTTGTTCTCCTGGATTTTTTTTTATGGGTTCTGCTCCTTTTCTATCATGAAACTATCTCCTTCCCTATCTCCCATGAATATGTTTACCTTGGTTGTGTCCTTTTCAGTGACATTTCTGTACAAATGTCACTTCCTCTTGCTGTTTTCTCTCCTTCCTGGCTATTTCCAAAGTCGTATTTTTAACTTCTCTCTCATCCTGAGCTCTCAGAAAATTATTTGCCATTACCAACTCATACGCTGAATTCTGATTCTGTATTTCAGTTTGTCTGCTGGGTATCTATTTTTGATATCATAAAATCACCTGTTTTTATATTTTTAAGGTAAAATTATTGCATTCCACCTTTTCACTGCTGAAATAAAATCTTCAATTTCTTTCTAAGTTAGCATAGTTTAGTGCACAGGTTGAAAAATTATGTCCGTGGATCAAATCCAGGCTGCCACCTGTTTTTATACAGTGTGCAAATAATGTTTGTTATATTTCAAATGGTTGAAAAAATGAAAGGAAAATAACGTTTCATGACATGAACATTTTATGTAAGTCAAATTGTATTCACAAATAACATTTTAATGGAACACAGCCATGCTTATTCCTTTACGTGTTGTCTAAGGCTTCTTTTGACCTATAATGACAGAGTCGAGTAGTTGTGACAGAGACAATGTGGGATGCAACGCTTAAAATATTTAATATCTGGTCATTTGGAAAACAAGTCTATTGACTCCGGTTTCAGTGGATGAAGCATGAGTTTACAAGCAGACAGATGAGCTAAATATAAATTTTAGATATTCTTTCCTAAGAGGGATTTCAGGGAGTTAGTTAACACTAATGAACCTCAGTTTTCTCATTTGTAACACTGCAATGACAATAGTCAAGTCCTCTGTGAAGTTTATTTTATTTAAAGTCTAAGACTAATACTGTAGGTTTTTAATTACTTTCACAGTTTCTTCTTTCTTATTGGTCTTGTGAAGCAATGACAGACAAAATATATTTTATTTTGGTACTGGCTCAGAAATATTTTATAACACCTCTGTTATTCAAGGCTGTTTCAGATCAAGTGAAAGAAACTCAGCTTAAATTAACTTCACCAAACAACCATTATATTATATAATTATATACAATTTTTAGGGTTTGATTTTTTTATTATATACATATATACTTTATATATAAACATATATATTTTATAATGTATTCTATCTATATATGGTGAGTTGTACATATGGTATTACAAAATGGCTTATTTAAAGTGATGTTAGAAAACTTGTTTTACCATTTTATTCTAGTTACAGAATAACTTCAGTTTTCATTTAAAGGCCTAAATCTGAAAGTAACAACTCTATGATAATAGAAAAATGTAGCATAACCTCTGTGAGCTCCATCATTATAATTCATGAAAGGACTTTGTTCTAACTCTTCCATTTCAACTGTAACCTCAGGTAATTGTCAATACAGGGGCCACTTTTAGATCCATCTAACAATTTTCAGAGCACAGTAATTTTGTCTTTCTTGAACATGTTTTAGAGAGACCACCTTGTACATTGTATGCCATTTAGTTAAAGGGAAAAATATTTTAATTTATCCTCTATTTTTTGTGTATACTCTCTTAAACCTCTTGTTTTATCTTCATTTTTCCTCTTTTTTTCTCTACTATCTCTAATCTATCTCTATTTCTAGAAAGATAAGTAAATAGATATTGCTATCTATATAAATAGATATCAATATGTCTCTCTGTATATCTGCAGATGGAGAGAGCAAGCCAGACCTATGTCTATCTAGAGTGAGGGATAGTAGTGTTTTACTTTTTAACTCCAAAAATTGTTTTAGGATTTATCCAAGATGTAAACTATATATCCTAACAATTACTTCTTACTGCTGTAGGGTATTCCATAGTGTATGTCTTATATACTTAACACATACCCCTATAATAGACACTGAAGTGGCCAACAACTCTTTTTTATCACAGAGTGGTGCAGCAACATTTGATTTCTCTTCTGGTAACTATTGCAATAGCTTCTTTGTGGTCCCTTCTAAAATTCATATGCAATCTCAAGGGATTTCAAAACAGTCAAGACAATCTTAAAAAAGAAGAACAAAGTTGGAGGTTTCACACTTTCTGATTTCTAAATTTATGACAAAGATATGGTCACCAAATAGTGTGAAACTGCCATGAAAATGGACATATAGAACAATGGAATAGTTTAGAGAACACATAAATAAACCTTCACATATTTAGTCAAATGATTTTAAACAGCAGCTCCAAAATCATTTAATGGGAAAACATGAGGTTTTTCCACAAACAGGTCAACATCACTAACCATTATTGAAACAAAATAAAATGAAACACTTTGTTTTCATTAGGATTTCATTATTTTCATTTGTTATAAAACAAAATATGAAGCATAATAAATGCTTGGGAAGATTTAAAGAAATTGGGAGAAATTGTTGATGGGACTGTAAAATGGTACAGCTGCTATGAAAAATTATGTAGTGATGATATTGGTTGGCTGTGTCCCCACCCAAATCTCATCTTGAATTGTAGATCTCATAATTCCCGCATGTCTTGGGAGGGACCTGGTGGGAGATAATTGAATCATGGGGGCAGGTCTTTCTCATGCTGTTCTTGTAATAGTGAATAAGTCTCAACATCTGATGGTTTGATAAAGGGGAGTTCCCCTGCAATGCTCTCTCTTTCCTGCCACCATGTAGTTCATGACTTTGCTCCTTCTTTGCATTCCATCATGATTGTGAAGCCTCCCTAGCACATGGATCTGTGAATCCATTAAACCTCTTTTCTTTATAAATTAACAGTCTTGGGTACATGTTTATTAGCAGAGTGAGACTAGACTAATACAGGTGGCTTCTCCAAAAAAAATTAATTAGAGCATGATCCACAAATCACAATTCTGGCTATATAAGAAATAAAAGTAAAACTTGAATAAATGTTTACACACTCATGTGCGTACCATAATTATTTGCAATAACCAAAGGGTGGAAACAAGTCAAGTGTCCATAAACAAATGAATAAACAAAATTTGATCAACAAATTACTGGCAAATCAAACCCAGCAGCACATTAAGAAGCTAATCTACCACCATCAGATAGATTTATCCCTGGAATGCAAGGTTAGTTCAATATATGCAAATTAATAAATGTGACTCATCACATAGATAGAACACATGATTTTCTTAATGAATGTAGACAAGGTTTTTAATAAAAATCAACATACCTTCAACAGATTATTCATTGAAGGACCATATCTCAAAATAATAAGAGCCATCTATGACAAACCCACAGTCAACATCACACTGAATGGGAAAAAGCTGGAAGCATTTCCATAGAAAACAGGAACAAGATAAAGAAGTACTCTGTCACCATTCCTATTAAACATATTATTGGAAGTCCTAGCCAGATCGATTAAGTAAAAACGAAATAAAAATCATCTAAATTGGAAGAGGGGAATTCAAACTATCCTTTTTTACTGACAATATGATTCTATACCTAGAAAACCCCATAGTTGCTGCACCTTGATTGGATAAACTTCAGCAAAATATTAGAATGCAAAATCAATGTACAATAATTAGTAGCATTCCTTAACACCAACAACATCCAAGCTGAGAGCCAAATCAAGACCATAATCCCATTCAAAATAACCATAAAATACCTAGGGATATAGCTAACCAGGGGCATAAGCAATCTCTAAAATGAGAATTGCAGAGCACCACTCTAAGAAATTAGAGATAACACAAACAAATAGAAAAACATTCCATGCTCATGGATAGGAAGAATCAATATTGCTAAAATGATTATACTGGCCAAAGCAATTTACACAGTCAATGCTATTCCTGTCAAGCTGCCAATTACGTTCTTCATAGAATTAGGAAAGCATGGAACCACGAAAGAGCAGCCAAGGCAATCCTAAGCAAAAAGAGCAAAGCTGAAGGCATGACGTCACCTATAGTTCAAACTATGCTACAAGACTACGGTAACCAAAACAGCATGATACTGGTACAAAAACTGACACATAGACCATTGGAACGGCATAGAGGGCCCTGAAATAATGCTGCACTCTTATAGCCCTCTGGTCTTTGACAGTCAATAAAATCAAGCAATGAAGAAAAGATTTTGTAATCAATAAATGGTGCTGGGATAATTGGCTAGCCATATGCTGAAGTTTAAAACTGGACCCCTTCTTTACACTGTATACAAAAATAAACTCAAGATGAATTACAAACTTAAATGTAAAATCTAAAACTAAAAAAAACTCTGGAAGATAACCTAAGAAATACCAATTTGAGCATAGGACTTGGCAAAGATTTCCATGATGAAGACACCAAAAGCAATCGAAACAAAACCAAAAATTGATATGACATAATTAAAGAGCTTTTGCATAGCAAAACAAACAAGCAAACAAAAACTAACAACAGAGTAAACAGACAACCTCCAGAATGGGAAAAAAAACATTTGCCAACAATGCATCCAACAAAAGTCTAATATGCAGAATCTATAAGGAAATTAAACAAATTAACAAGCAAAAAAAAAAAAAAAAAACAAATCCATTTTAAAATGGACAAAGGATGTGTTAACAGACATTTTTCAAAAGAAGGCATACACACAGCCAACAAGCATACAAAAATGCTCAACAACACTGATTATTAGAGAAATGCAGATCAAAACCACAAGTAGATACTATCTTACACAAGCCAGAAAGGCTATTAATAAAAAGTCACAAAATAATAGATGCTGGCCAAAATGTGGATAAGAGAAAATATTTATACACTGCTGATGGGAATGTAAATTAGTTCAATTAGTTCAATAATTGTAGATAGCAGTTTAAAGATTTCTCAAAGAACTCAAGTGAAAATTAACATTTGACCCAGCACTCCCAAAGAAATATAAATCTTTACACCATAAAGATACATGCATAAAAATGTTCTTAATAGCACTATTCACAATAACAAAGACATGGAATCAACCTAGATGCTCATCAGCGGTAGACTGGATGAAGAAAATATGGCACATATACTCCATGGAATACTATGCAACCATAAAAGTGAATGAAATTATGTCCTTTCATTAACGTGGATGGAGCTGGCAGCCATTATTCTAAGTGAACTAACACAAAAACACAAAACAAAAGTAGCATGTTCTCACTTGTAAATGAGAAATAAACATCGAGCACATAGGAACACAAAGAAATGAACAACAGACACGAGGACCTACTTGAAGGTGAAGGAAGGAAGAGGGTGAGAACAGAAAAACTACCTGCCTGGTACTATGTTTTTACCTGGGTGGTAAAATAATCTGGTATGTAACACCCCATGAAAAACAATTTACCCATATAACAAACCTGCACATGTACCCCTAAACATAAAATAAAAGTTAAAAAACCTTATTCCTTTGTGAATTGTCTATTCCTATTTCTTTTTTCAGTTTTGTTTTATTGCTTATTTACTTCCTTGTATATTCAGCAATTAATGTTACTTGCAGATATTGCAAATATAACTTCCTTCCTGTTAAAATTTTTACTGTGCCTTTCTTTAAACATAAATAAAAATAATTTTAATTTAGTCAAATCTTCAAGTTTTCACTTATAAAATATGTTTTCTTTTTTTAATTGTAATTATTGTTCCAGGTACATATGCAGAATTTGCAGGTTTGTTACATGGGTTAATGTGTGCCGTGGTGGTGATTTGCTGCACCTATCAACCCATTGCCTAGGTATTAAGACCAGCATGAATTAACTATTTTTCCTAATACTCTCCTTCTCCCCACTCCACCCCTTGACAGGCCCCAGTGTGTGTTGTTCCCATCCATATGTCCATGTGATCTCATTGATCAGCTCCCACTTATAAGTGAGAACATGTGATGTTTGTTTTTTTGTTCCTGCATTAGTTTGCTGAGGGCAATGCCTTTCAGCTTCATCCATGTCCCTGCAAAGGAGATTATCTCATTCTTTTTTATGACCTGTTAGTATACCATGATATATATGTACCATGTTTTCTTTATCCAGTCTATCACTGTTGGGCATTTGGGTTGATTCCATGTCCTTGCTCTTGTGAATAGTGCTGCAGTGAACATACATGTGCATGTCTCTTTATAATAGAATGATTTATATTTATTTGGGTATATACCAAGTAATGGGATTGCTGGATCAAATGGCATTTCAACTTCTAGATCTTTGAGAAATCACCACGCCATCTTCCAAAATGGTTGAACTAATTTACATTCCCACCAACAGTGTAAAAATGTTCTATTTCTCCACAACCTCACCAGTATGTGTTGTTCTTTAATTTTTTTAATAATGGCCATTCTGACTGCCATGAGATGACATTTCATTGTGGTTTTGGTTTACATTTCTCTAATAATCAGTGATGTTGATATTTGTTTTCATATGTTTGTGGACTACATAAATGTCTTCTTTTGAGAAATGTCTGTTCATGTCCTTTGCCCACTTTATAATAGAGTTTTTTTTTTTCTTGTACATTTGATTCCTTTTAGATTCTGGATATTAGACCTTTGTTGGGTAGATAGATTAAAAAAATATTCTCCCATTCTGTAGGTTGCCTGTTCACTCCAATGATAGTTTTTTTTGTTTTGTTTTTTGCTGTGCTGAAGCTCTTTAATTAGATCCTATTTATCAATTTTTGCTTTTTTTGGAATTAGTTATGTTTAAGAAAACTTTTACATTTCATAGTCATAAAGTTATTCTCATATTTTTGCTAATTTACATTTTTTATCTTTCATATTTAGGCCTTAAGTATATCTACAAACGTAAAATTTTTAAATGTACAAAAACTTCAAAAGGCCTGTATTCTTCCACATTTATTACTTACATCTGCGAGAACACATCCCTGGAACAATTCCTGAATCTCTACAGTATTTGTTTACCCACTATTTTCTTACCAATTTCTTCTTAGTATTATAATAATCATCTCTAGCTAAGATTGATTGAGGAAAAGGCTAATGTTTCTTCTACAGACAGTAAATTATTTATAAAATAAAATTATTTGATACGCCCTCATATTACAGAAGTCCTTAGAAGAAACAATATATAATAAAGATATTTTAAAAACTTAATTTTTATTACGGCACATGTAGCATTTCCTGGGAAGTACTTATGCACAAGGGAGGTGGGTCAGAGAAACATTCATTAAATTCATGTAAATTACTTCCTGTGAAGTTTGATATTGAGAATGAAACGTTTTGCTGAAGATAGTGTTCTTTTTTTTTATTATACTGTAAGTTCTGGGACACATGTGCTGAATGTGCAGTTTTGTTACATAGGTATACACAAACCATGGTGGTTTGCTGCATCCATCACCCCATCATCTACATTAGATATTTTTTCTAATACTATCTGTTCCCTATTCCCCCATCCCCTGCTATTGTCCCCAGCCCCCCACTTCCTGACAGGCCCCAGTGTGTGATGTTCCCCTGCATGTGTCCATTGGTTCAACACCCATTTATGAGGGAGAACATGCAGTGTTTGGTTTTCTGTTCTTGTGTCAGTTTGCTGAGAATGACAGTTTCCAGAACTCACTCTTTTTTATGGCTGCATAATATTCCATGGTATATATGTGCCACATTTTCTTTATCCAGTCTATCATTGATGGGCATTTGTGTTGGTTCCAAGTCTTTGCTATTTCTGAGCAGTGCCGCAATAAACACATGTGAGCACGTGTCTTTATAAAGGAAGAATATGATAACACCAATTCTCTGAATCTGAGTTTAATGAAATACATATTACTAGAAATTAATAACTGATAATATATGAGTATAAAACCATCATCAGAGATTATTACAAACAACTCTATGCACATAAACTAATAAACCTGGAAGAAATGGATAAATTCCTGGACACTTGCCTCCTGCCAAGCCTAAACCAGGAAGAAGCCGAAACCCTGAACAGACCCATAACAATGTCTGAAGTTGAGGCAGCAATTAAGAGCCTACCACCCAAAAAAGCCCAGGTCCAGATGG